AAGTTTTCTGACCTCCAGGCGGCAGGCCAACTCGTTTTACTCCGCAGCATTCGGCGGCAGCCTGGAGTATGCCGCTCTTAAACGGCTACCGTTCGGTTTCCACATCGGTTGTCATCATTTGGACCTGTTCAACCCGTCGTGCGATGTTATTTGCAAGTTTCGCCCCCGTATCTGAGGAAGGGAATGTTTCACTTCAGATTTTCTGGTTTCTTCTGCCACCAGGTCATCACATGGTACTGCATTTCTCACAACGAAGCTACCAACAACAAGGTGGTGACTGATGATTGACAGCTGTGAATCTGTTAACGAGAACATCCATTACAGAATGTCGTAAGTTAGACAGTACGATTATCAAATCGAATACTTCTGTAGTTCTGTGCACAAGCTTCCTTGTACCAGGTATACTTATGCACTCTTCGATGGTCGAAGAAAATGATCAGAATGGGCAGTCAGTTGTTTGCACAATACCACAGCAACTGCATGGCGTTACTGTTATGGTTGCAAGTTGCGTTTTTTTTGTCACGCCTTTCCACTTTTCAGCGTCTACTCTGACTTGCACATTAGAATCGCTCATAAAAATGAGCATCTCCGTATTCGGCACTTTGTGCATGGCACGCTGTACTGTGAATCATATCGTCCCTGTGAATTTATGCATCTGTAACAAGGTCAGATCTTTTCAATGTCTGGCCTGTTGTAGCCGTAGTCAGAGGATTGCTGCACTTCCGCTGACGACTTCCATTCAGTGATTCTTTGGGCCAGGTTGGGTTCTACCAGAACACCAACACCGGCCTGAGCGCACGTACTGATGTCGACACCTGAGTAGAATAACTTCCACCCGCTGAGGTTCAGGAGTCCATAGCCGTAGCACTGCGTTGACGGATGTCTAAAGTGTGAGGCAGGTTCAGATTGTCGAGTTTTTGCAATTTGCCGTGATAACCCTGGCGACGACCGAGCCGGTGTGGCGTTCGATGACGGCAATATTTGGAGGGGTAGATGGCTAAGTTTCACTCCATCATTTGAAGTTTCATGTACTTCTGATATACAATCATATGATTTGTAGGGCTTTATTCGCTGATAAGGTTTTCCCTTATTTGACCACTAGCTGCTCTAAATAGGCTTAAAATTTCTACTAATATAGTATAAGCACTTTCCTTCTCTTCTCTTTATGTTTTTTATAAGATTTGCAAAGAGCTTTGGCAGTTGAACATAGTTAATCAGGATAAGATGATTAAACAGTTTCGTTTTGATTGCTATGCTTCATTAAATTAGCATAGTTCGTTGACCGTGTCGTATGATCGAGCATTTAATATTTTTAGCTTGACTGTGGTATTCATCCTGGTCTCACCGGCGTCGATGCTTTACCTTACGTAGACATCATCGACTGTGAAGAAATCGACCTTCTTCTGATTACACAGTAGCTGTTTGTTTATGTTGGTCACATTTGAAATATGCAAATATATTTCAGCTTTCATCTCGACCATTGTGGCGCTTTGCCATGGCTACTTGAAAAAACAGCATTCAGAGGTCGCTGTTTTATGACGCATGCTTCGAAAGCGATTTACCGAATGCTTGTCTCTGATTACATCAAAGTGAGGTACGTCTCTCTGAGCTATGAATATCTTTTTACTGATCTATAATCCAGACATTATGTTATTACATCCGTAAGGCACGTATATCAAACAGCATTGTCGTACATTTTATATGACTAACATCATGCTGTCTCTGTTGTTCACGGTTGAACCACGTGTTACCCGTTTCTTGGCTGGTTACACTGAACATTGTTTGGGGTGAATTATTTGCTCAATGGAATTGTCAGCTATTATGAAAAACTTGCAATGGCTCGTCTTAGGTTTGAGCCTGCATCTCTACATGCGAAACTGAACCACGCCCCACTGCAATGCTGTATCCCCAAAAGTTTGGATATGGAAATTAAATGGCTTTGTCACAGACATATGGATATGGTCCAAAATTATTCGTTTGGGCTTGTAGTCAGTATTATTTTTCTGAGCAGATTTGCCTTAGCAGCATGAGTCAGCCTGTCCGCTGTCAGTTACCATTCGATCGCTTATAACTCAGTGGTCAAGGATCCGGATTAACAGTGGGAAGATAACGGGTTAAAATCTCAACCGTTTCTCTCTCCTCTTCTCCTTCTGAGATAAATGAATGAGTACCACTTGGTGCGACGAAATGGGGATGCATGTCATATAGCTAGACATAGGTCTTTGTAAAGAAGATGGTCTGGATTGGTAGCGTCAAAACGGTGATTAATACTGCAACATAAGTTTCGTAAAAGAAGGATGTCACAAATGTCACCGTTCACTGTGAAAATGTTATTGAGACTGACTTATCCGTGATTACAAACGTTTTTTTTATTATGGCTCAGTGCACGTTTTTCCTGTTAGCCTTTGGTCGTTGTTATCTCATAATGACATGAATGATTAGTTTATCTCCTGAAAGAGCTTGTTAGCTGACTGTTCAGTTTAATATTCAGCTCATGGTGTAACCTTTAAAAAGAATTCGCTATTCAGACTTCAGGATTTATCGTACTTATCAAGCTGCTAATCTGTTGACCACTGCATCTGCAAAAATTGCTTCATGTGTTCTCTAAGGTTGTCTGCGACCTGTGCTCTTGTGCAACCTCATCTTTGACTTTTCAACGAGTCTTAGAGAAATGGCAAAGAGGATGATTGGGATTCCCAACTGACCGAGTGATAAAACTTCCCTTGAAATGAACTATATTCAATTAACTAGCCGTAAATGTTCGCATTTGTTGTAATGCTACCAGAAATCATTATGCACCATATCTGACCTGTATGGCACGATATGATGTGTTGTATCTAGTTATGCATAATATAATTTTACCAGGCTTATTCTTCGTCTTATTGATATTCAACGGGTTTTCTTTCCAACGTTTTGAATAACACATGAACCATTGTCAGGAGCCATAGAGCGCAAACGGTTTCAAAGCACGTTAAACAGTTATAAAAAAATAACGTAAATTGAGCAATTATGACTATAATTCTGCGGGGCTAGACATCTCGTCATATAGTGGCTTTTGTGCTGGAAGCTGAAACGTTCGATTTTAGGATTTTTTGTAACGTCTAAAGCCTTCGTTTTCTAAGCCTTCCTTTTCGTGGAGAAAACCTGTATTTGATAATGGTTTTATTTTATTCACTGTAGCAGCATTTCACACTCTATCGTATGCATGACCATGATTCCTGTTATTTCTGTGTAGCAATATGGGTGTTGAACAGATGTTGTATACCGAAGAAGACCTGGAAAAGAGTATGGAGAAAATCGAGGTTATTGACTTTCATGAGGTATGAGTTATTTATCATTGACGGCACAAGTATCTTGATCAAATACCAGTATTTGCTTTAGCAAAAGGAAGTCAACGGGATCAAATTTTGGTGCTATGTGGCCGGACACGTTTTAGGCGCATGTATGTTCATGATAGAAATTGCAGGCGTCAAGGTAATTAGATTTGTTTCTTTTCGTAGTAGCCGGTAGAAAATGAAGCATTGTGTCTTTAGGTGTTCTACACTGGCGATTTTTCACGACTCGAGGATCGTCATCTGTGTGCCGCCGAAGTACCCAATATTCGTCCGGATGTTCTTATCATAGTAAAACCTTTATTTATGTAGCAAATTTATTTATGCATAGTTGAAAGCCGAACAATCGATGCTGAAGTTTCGTGCAGACGCATTTCTCTATCATACCGGTGGCATCGTTAAAAATGATGGGGTAAAACAATACATTGAAAGCCGGTTAGAAATGGCCATAATGCCTCAGTATGCAGCTAGTGATACCCATGTCAGAAAAATCTTTGTTAGCCTTTACTGTGATGATATACGATCCAGTAAGCTGTCTTGATTATTTCAAAGCTATCCTCATCTCAGACATTTTTGGTTATACTTGCTAGTCATGCTCAAAATTCAAGAACTGGCTGTTGAGATCATTGGAGTCTATTTCATTGTCTCCTCTGAGCTTGTTTTTTGATAAACATCGTCCTTTTAATCATGTGTTTGCAGTCTTAATGTAACATGTTTCACTGTCATAAAGGAATCGACTTATGGAACACAAATTCATGAGAAGCGCGAAGACAGGGAACGTCGATTCACCGGTTTGGTTCATGAAATAGTTGCCAGAGGCGGTCGATGTTTGATTCCCGTATTCGCATTGGGACGTGCTCAAGAGCTAATGCTGATTTTGGGTACATATACTAGTTTGATTACCGCAGCTTTACTTTCAAATGATTGTACGCTTCAAGACGAGTACTGGTCGATGCACCCCGAGCTACACGACATCCCGATTTACTACGCCTCGTCGTTGGCCAAAAAGTGCATGGCAGTCTACCAAACGTTTGTCAGCGGAATGAACCAACGCATCCAAAAACAGATTGCCGTCAATAACCCGTTCATATTCAAGCACATTAGCAATCTGAAG